AAAAATCAAACCTGCTTTAAAACCCAGCAACACAACTGTAGCTGTATAACTTTACAACAGAAACACTGCTTTAAAAGCAAAACAGCAAGGCTTATTTGACATCAAAACAAACATTTCAAGTACCGATACTCAAAAAGTGTACTTAAGTGCAATACTCAAGTAAATGTACTTAGTTACTGTCCGCCTCTGGTTTCCTTACACCTTTTCTTCTTAACTGAATGTATGCATGCAACTCTTGTATATTGAATGAAACTTTATTGCTGCATGCAAACTCAGAGAATTGTTTCTGCATTACACAAAATATGTGTATCTGCATGTGTGTTTGCTATATGCACATACTTTATTACGCTTGCCTTTGAACACTGAACTTCTGAACTTCCCTTGACGTTTTTCCCTGTAGCATGTGGCTCTGATTTGGATTATTTGCTAGACTTGTTTTCGTTTGCTTGGCTCTTTTGAAGTTGTTTCTGTTTCAGGCCGTTGCGCAGAAGAATGGATTCCTCTGCACTTCACTCTCTTTTATTTATGCTTTTCACCACCTTCTCCTATGTTCTTGCTGGAATGGACTCTTGTTATAATGAGGAGGGCGTCTCGAGCCGCTGTTTGCCTAAATTTGAAAATGCGGCCTTCAATCGTACAGTGATAGTTTCAAATGTGTGCGGTATCCCACCTGAGGACTATTGTATGCAGACGGGGTCCACGCGGTCATGTCACTTCTGTGACGCCTTGGACTTGGAACTAAATCACAACGCTACTTACCTGACAGACTTCCATACGGATGAAGAGCCTACCTGGTGGCAGAGCCAGTCCATGTTCTATGGAGTTCAGTATCCTAATTCAGTCAACATCACACTGCATCTTGGTAAGACACCCAGTTGGGCTTTAATATCAATCAAACAATTGGAAAAGATGAGTATTTCTGCACATTGAATGAATATATAAAATCCATAAACCAAAAGTTGTACTTATTTGTGCAAAAATACTGAACTTTGTACAGAGAAGTGTTATTGTCAAATAAAATTGTAACTATTTGAAATTGTTTTAAGTAATTGAACTGAAATAAATATTAGATGGAAAGCTTAAACTTAGAAAAGTTAAGAAAAATGTTTATGTAGTATTGGAAATTGTTTAAGCAAATTGGAAATTGTTTAAATTGTTTAAGTGTTTAAGTTAATACTAAATTGACTAAAATTGATTGAAATAAAAATCAATCAAAGCTATATAAATGTAAAAAAGAAAAAAAAAAGATCACAAAAAATGATTGAAACAAACTAAAATTAAAATGAAAACTGAAGACATAGAAATAAAAGCCAGTTTAAAACATTAATAAATACTATGCTATACTATTATATAAATAACACTAAAATAACACTGGTATACAACACAAAATTGTTAATTGGTGAAATGATTGCTAAATATTAATACTAATAATATTTCATTTGACTAAAATACACTTTTGAGACAATAAAAAGCTATCTGGATAGATTATTAGCATTAAACACCTTAATACTGTATGCGTCAACTGTCCTCCTATAGCTTGTCTGCAGTGGTAAACTTGTATCTGAATGTTGTGAGCCGTCCAAATGCATCTTGTTCTTTATTTTACTAAACCTGCATGTAGGGCTACCTGCTTTTACTATACTGAACATTCAACTAAGCATTCTATACTGTGTAAACTGTATGCTAACTGAACAGCAACTAAGCAGCAAGAGCCTTGCTAGTCACAATGAGTTTCCCAGCTGTGAATTTGATGCTGCCTGTAAATGTGAACACCTCAGAAATCTAATGTCATTTTGGTGGCCTATAAGATTAGATGACTCTGATATCTCAGCTGGTTTCTTGTTCTATTACATTATTGCCCTACAGGCTTTACGCTACAATATTTTCAATCACAATATGTCCCACATGTTTCTATGAATGAATGTTTGAAATTTAAAATGTTATTTGTATTCTGTAAGGTGAAAGTTTGCTATTGTTTTTTTTCTTTAACCCTCAGAGACCCAGCACAGTAGAATTGTGGTGTTTGTATAAAGCAATTAAAAAACACCTAAATTTCACTTTAATTAAGTGATATTAAAACAACTATTTTAATTAAAATTTATTTTGATATGAATGTTTACTGCAGTATTTAAATGGTCAAATACTGAAATTTCTTCACTTATCGTGACTGTAAAACTTTTACTTACTGTATTAAAAAAAACAGTTTTGAAATTTTGCAACCCTAAATGCCCAGTGGTGCAATTTTTCAATGTTTTTCCATATTATACCCTGTTGCAAACGTTTGCCTAAAATATATATATATATTTTTTTAAATATAGCTTCCTAAAGACATGCTTAAGGGTAAGCCAAAGTCATGCCTTCAGTTCCCAGAGAATGCACGCAAAATGTATATCCTGAATGCAGTGTAAATAGCTTTGAAGACAAGTGTCTGCAAATATGTAAATGCATAACATATGAAGTTATAAAATCAGTGTGAAAAACACACATACACACACAAACTGTGGATGGTCTCTTTACATGTTACAGGCTACAGATGGTTTCTTCCTGTCTCAGTGGGCAGTTCTAAGCTGAAGCAGATATGGTTGAAGTCAAAAGTTTGGCTATAAAGGCTACACTACATTTACACTACAGTATTGAGCATGTCTTTGCATCTTTTTCTTATCATTCTCAAGTACTGTCAATACCAAAACCATTGGTTCATAGCGCAAACGTACATATGTCATTCTGATTCTCTTCTTATAAAACTAGCTGAAATCACAGTGCATGTGTACCTATGTGTTTATTCTCATAACAGTTTTCCACCTCTGCACATCGAAAGTTTAGATGTGATTTGGTGATTCTTTTAGAAGTACATTTTGTGAAAGAGAGAGAGAAGAAAAAAATGGGAGATGAAAGGGCATTTAAATTATGTTTCAACAGGCTAATCATGCATAAAAGTGTATGTTGTTGTGTTTGCTCTGATTCAAAGATGCCTTGCAGTTCGTTGTCTATGAAAGGCCTTCTCACATTTCCAAACCAAACAGATACATCCTAGGGAGGCCAACACAGACAGACACACACACTGCGGAAAGAGCAATGGGGGTGGTACAGAAAACACTACAAAGAATAAGACAAACACAAAAAGCAGCAGAGGTCCAGTGGCAGGTCAGGTCTTTCCAATACACACACATAAATATACACAAACACACACATGCAGACTTCTAAGGAATGTTTCCACATCTGGTTTCCATTGTGGTTTTCATTCAGTGATGTTCAAAGGTCCAATATGAGATACAGATGTTTGCTGCAAAATACTTCAACTGAACATTAAAGATTGTTGTGTGGAAATCATACAGATTTAACAAAGTTTTCAGACAAAGTGCGCTTAGAAATTTCACATATGTAGACGCTGATACATTTTCCGGTTGGTCTGCAAACTCAAATCTTCAAAAGTAAAGTGCAATGAAAATTGTGAATGATTTTGTTACACATTCATTTATAGTGTTTACCATCTTGTTTTTCTCCCCCAAATCTTAAAAAAAAAAAAATCCCAGTTTTACCATACACAGACATGATTACTTTATAGTTTATTTATACTGAGTCTGGTGCAGATTCAGTCAAGTTCAGACACAAACACACCCACACATATACACAGATACGTTTAGTCTACTCATATTTTTTTCCGGGATAAAAGCTGTTGCCTTTCTGTGAAAGTACATATGAATACACATTAAACCTGTGGGTGACAAACACATTATGTACATTTTCAAATTCAAGTCCAGCTGAGGGATTTATTGTTTTGTTCCAGACAGTTTCATCATCATGATTAGAGCTGGAGACCAACTCTTGTTTTCTTCTTATTTTTCTCCTGCCTGTTTTTTCCTCCATTTCCTTCTTTTTTTTTCTCCAGCCAAGATAATCTTCTCACATGCTGAGATGAAATGATGCTTAAATTATTTCAACATGGCTACTGAAATGGTGTGGGTGAGTGTGTCTATGTAGTATACGGCAGAAATTATGTTTTATAAAAGAGAGATAACAATTAAAAAAGAAAGGGGAAAAAAGTATATCCAGCTTCTTTGTGGTGGGGACTCTTACTGCAGATTACATCATTTTGCCAATAGGTGGCGACAAGTGACTTGTGTCTTTATGAGTGAGTCACTGATTCATTCACTGAATTTATTCATTGAAAAGCTCATTAATTCATTAACGAAATAACTGTTTTGAATTTGGAATAGTATACTAGCATACTACTCTTGCTGTATCTTAATAAGAGAATGGTAAGAGTTTGCTTGAATGCTATTTCGAACTGAATTGTCTTTATGAGTGAGTCATACTGAATGATTCAATGACTCACTCACAAAGACTTTTGCTCAACCGATTCGTTCAAAAACAAATTCAAACGCCACTGTGTTTTGGTATATTTTGGCTGGCAGAGCGAAACTAGACAAAGTGACTGCTAATATCGTGAATGGAACGTAAGTTAATACTAACTTTTTGTTTATTTGATTGTGTACAAGCAATATCACACTGGCAATCGCGCTGTTTGTCTGTATGTGGTCATGTTATTATTGCTTATTTAGACCTCATGCAGTCAGATTCCAGCTGTGGGACTAGACAAAGTGACTGCTAATATCGTGAATGGAACGTAAGTTAATACTAACTTTTTGTTTATTTGATTGTGTACAAGCAATATCACACTGGCAATCGCGCTGTTTGTCTGTGTGTGGTCATGTTATTGCTTATTTAGACCTCATGCAGTCAGATTCCAGCTGTGGGCTTTATTAGTTGCTAACGACCAAGTAATCTTCTGGCAGCAACAATATTTGTTTTACAGGATGTACCAAATTGCAAAATACAGCAGAACAACAGTAGATTTTCTGTTGACTAAATATAAATGGATTTAAACAAAGTAACTGTGTTATTTGTCACAGTTATATCTCTTCCATGCACTGTTTGCTGGAGCAGTCCCTCTGGAGCAACCCAGGGTTAAAGACTTCTCAGGCTCTCTCCAGTTCATTTGGACAATTATATCAGAGCAGCAATTAAACTGACAAAGTACCACCAAGTATGCCATTTTCTCAAGGCACAAACTCCAGGTGTTCTCGACAGACACACTTTCTGCGCTAAATTGGATAAAGTGGTCTCATCCTTTAATTCATCCTTAATTTTGTTTTGGCTTGATCTTCCACCTGCTCACTCTCAATTTGGCCCATCATCACTGATATGATAAAAATTAATGGACTCTTTAATGACCCGGACTTTAATTATCAGGCTACATTAACTACGAAGGTACTGAATTTTGTGGGACCTGTCCATAATAATTGTAATGTAACATTAACGTTGTTGTTGTTTTTCCAAGGCAAGGCCTTTGAGATCACATATGTCCGTTTGAAGTTCTACACCAGCCGACCAGAGAGCTTCGCCATCTACAAGCGTACCGAGGAGAATGGACCATGGCAACCATACCAATATTACAGTGCTTCTTGTCGCAAGATGTACTGGAGGGACAATAAGGGCTTCATACGTCCAGGCGAGAATGAAATGACAGCACTCTGCACGGATGAATTTAGTGACATCTCACCACTAACTGGCGGAAATGTGGCTTTCTCCACATTGGAGGGACGACCCAGTGCCTACAACTTCGACCAGAGTCCTGTGTTACAGGTATATCGCGTTATTTTATGAGAGCTTAGCTGTCTTGTAATCCAATACTACGGTTTATATTTAACCCATCTGAATACATCTTTTAGCATGCCAAATATAAACATGAACCATTTCTAATGTAAACCCGAGGCATTTACCATTTACCAAAATATTTATCTTCATGGCTTGTTGACAATAACTTGCTGTTTTAGTTAGCGGCTCCTATCCTTTGCCTTTGGATATGTAGATGGGTGTGCTTTGTTGTTCCAGAGGAAAGCTTTAAGGGAAATATCCCTCACTGTCAAGCTTCTCTAACTTTCACAGCAAAATCTCATGGCTAAACATGAGTGTACTCCGCATGCCTTGCTACTAAATACAGCCTGCAACCTTTTCCAAAGGTTTCTAGGGAGCTTCTTCTACACAGGGATGCAGTCACAGCTGCCAGATGAAGTTCAGAAAATTACAGGTGACAGGCAACTGCCAGAGCTCTCCCAACTATTAGATACAATATATGAATACACATTTCTGCAACTATGGACATTTGGTCCTCAGGAAAATAAACACTTGTTTCATTTAGTTTATTAGTTTATCATACTAGTTTATTTGTCTACTAGCAATTTCCAATGGCGTATACACATACTTGACAGAAAAGTTCTTTCATTTGTATCATTTTCACCGTGTCACTTCCAAAATATCTGAGATGATGTATTGTGGTTACTAGATTTATGTGGTGGAAATCGCATTTTTTTAATTTTTATAATGAAAACTTTTTTTATCTTGCTAAATGTATTTGTTTCCTTACTACAAAAAAAATCTTCTTCTTCTTATACAGAAAATATGTAAATTATTTTTACAAAATAAATTTAGTTTTTCACTCTGTTAATCATTTCTATTTGTAAAAATTGATTTTATAGAGCCTAGTTAAATCAAGAAATTGTACATAAAAGCCATTTGAAAATCATTTAAAAATTAAATTATGTTGAAGACATGCTAAAATGTTTACAAGACAGTTTTAATGTGTCCGAGAGAGAGAGAGAGAGAGAGAGAGAGAGAAAAAAAAAACAATTCTGGCTGGAACATTAAAGTGTCCAAAGTTGAAGAATGCCTATATATTAAAGTAGGTACAGCCTAAATCAAACCAGATTTGACAGGATATTAGATGATCAGTACTTGCAAGAAGAGCACTCAGAATTGGAGCTCACTGCCTCCATGTCTATTTTTGTAACAAGAAAATTGATGGAAGGAAAGAAAGTGTTCTCGCTAACAGAAGGGTCATACCGATTGAAACTGATGTGCATGTGTCCCATAAGGTGTTTTTGAATGCAGCTTTCTAAAAAATTATCTTGTGTAAATTATTAAAATGCATGATTAATGTAAGATTATAAACGAAGATGTTACAAGCGAGCAAGAAAGAAAAAGATTGAAAAGAATAAGGATTTTAGCCTCTGATTTCTGACTGTGATTTGTGCATTTTGGTACGATGCAGCAAAGTTTGAATCACTTGTTTTCAATTGTCTGATCACATATTAGTAGGTGGCGAATATCCAATCACAAAATGTTTGACATCTGTATTAAGCACTGATCTTATCACAAAAACCGGATATTAATGGGGTCCTTGACATTCAGTATTTGAACAGGCATAAAGATGTTTGGACCTACTGAGGTTTGTTGTGGAGTTTTGAACAGGCCCATTTTAGGTAAATCTTTTTCACTTTCAATCTTTTCATCATCCTCTTTTCTCTCACTGTTTCAAAGAAAAACAGCTATCCCATCTGTTTAGAAAAGTAAGAGCCACTAGAGGAGGACAAGAAAGGGAGCAACAAAAAAGAAGGGATGCCATTTTATTTAAGAGCAGAGATAACCGTTTGGCTTGTAGTGATTGAGGCTTGTAGCCTGATGTGTGGAATAGAATCTCCCTATCACACAGATGGGAGATGAATTGGGGTTTTAAAAGGAGTATACGGGGACTCCAGTGGCCCCACAAAAAAAGAGGAGGAACTGGAAGAGAGTGCTAGAGTTGAAGTAGTCCAGCTGCTGAGCTGAGAGCTATATAGTAATCAGCATATGTGTATACACATTAGGGTTGGGCCGATAGACGATGCCATCGTCCATCGCCGATGGCTGCCAGCCATCACGACAGCCTCCACACACGGTTCGGCATGCACTAGGACCGCGGTTCAACTTAAATCTGACAATGCATCTGTAATATGGTTTGTTAGAGTTCGGCTAATGCATGTTTCTGTTGATGGATACAAATTCTGGCTTCCCAATACATTACAACAAGAGCGATGAGAGAAAAAAAAACAATACGTGGACAAACCAGTCACTCTTTGTTCATTGCGAGTGCTGTATGCTGGAATATGATGTATTATGATATAATATTGATATAATATTGTAACAACGCTCAGTTGTTCTATAGAACGTGGGGCTAACCGGAGCTAAGCTAGGCTACTAAACTTCTGCTAAGCTAATTGCTAGCAGTGTGCTAGCATCTACACGTTGAGACTTTTAATTTGGTTAGTGGAAAGTGCGAACATTCGCGTCCCATACACCGCACGACCCTGAGTGTCTCCGTGAGCAGAAGTCATAAACACACATAACATTGCTAATGCAAAAACCCAACCATCTTGCTTAATTAACACATAAATCAACTCTAAACAAATACCCATAATGCACCTGGCTGCTAGCGCTCACTGCCGGGTCATTACATTACCCCCCACCAAGAGGGTTAGTGTCCCCACAACCCTATTCTCCCATAACAAAATCCAGCAAATGTCCTGGCCGGCGTCGAACACGCTTCGACCTCTCGGATGTTCTACCCCCAGCGCCAGGCTCATCCTTGAGTCCATCATTGTCCGTCCCGGCTCTGGGAGTGGATGGGGGGGAGCCGCCCTGGCTTCCACCAGTCTTTTGCTCTGGGGCCAGTGGGTGGTACGGTGCCAACCGATCCTCTTCCTCTGGGGGCAGAACCCCCACACTCTGTCTCCTGGCCCAAGGGTAGGCCCGTGGGCCCGGGCATCGTACGCCCGCTTCTGGTGGGCTCCAGCGTCCTCTAGAGCCTCCCTGGCCAGTTGATGGACCTAGCTCAGACGCTCCTTCAATCGCCGGAAGTAGTCCAGTTCTGGGCCATGTAGAGCGGCCAGGTTGACCTGCGCCAGGTAGGGCTCCAGGGGCGTGGACCCGCTGTATCGTGGCAGCTTAGCCGGTGATCGTGTGAGGAGGCCTGGCCGGCCATTGATTTGGAGTGTCGGTGTGATGGCCGGAGGTTCGTTCTGCACGCGACCAGGAGGGCGGTACACTGTCTGGGGAACGCTGGCCCCATCAGCCCGGTGCGGAGCCCTGTTCCTCTGCGTCGTCTCTCTCGTCAGGCGCTCTAGCATGATGCTGTTCTCTCGGATAGCACGCTCTAATTCGCCTATACTTTGCTCCATAACGGCGTCTTCGAAACGGCCTGAATCTCAGAAATCACACTTCTGACACCACTGTAACAACGCTCAGTTGTTCTATAGAACGTGGGGCTAACCGGAGCTAAGCTAGGCTACTAAACTTCTGCTAAGCTAATTGCTAGCAGGGTGCTAGCAACTACACGTCGAGACTTTTAATTTGGTTAGTGGAAAGTGCGAACACTCGCGTCCCATACACCGCACGACCCTGAGTGTCTCCGTGAGCAGAAGTACAGACAGAACAAACCAGCAGGAGGCAGTACTGTCATCTTTCTCCTTTTATTCTAAACACAGAATAAGAACTTACACAGGCAAGGCCATATCGCCAAGTCCCTCCCGTACACATCTCTCTCCATGACGGTGACAGCCACACTTTTTATAACAAGGCAGTAAATGAACCAAACCCACCCGAACTAACTTGAACATAAACACACATAACATTGCTAATGCAAAAACCCAACCATCTTGCTTAATTAACACATAAATCAACTCTAAACAAATACCCATAATGCACCTGGCTGCTAGCGCTCACTGCCGGGTCATTACAATATTATATAAATAATATTATGTCATTTATGCCGTCATCACGTGTTGATGGCGCAGGTGAGACCAGAACAGCACACGTTGCTATCTGTGTTTAAACTTTGAAGTATTGTGCTTGAATTGACAAATTCACACAAAAATTGTCAAAATGCCCATCTTGGTGAGTATCCTAGCAGACAGAAACGTAGTCGGCTGAACAAACAGTATCTGTGCGTTCTCTTAAAGTGACAGCACTTTCTTAAAGTTAATTAAACAGCAACAACACGGAAATCACTCACTGCTCTTGATTGAATAACTTTTGTAACTTTAATAAGGAATAATTTTTAATTTATACAGTCAAATATGCAATGTAGTTTTACATTTGATTACTTTATTCAATTTCTGTACCTAAAAACTGTTAGACCTACCTAAAAAACCTGAAAAGCACTGTTTATTTTATTTGTATCTTTGCTCTATTGCATTTATTTGTGCTGTTGCTTGTAGTTAGATTATTTGTTCTTATTTTCTTTATTTTTATTTGACAATATATAGTTTTTTCTCTAAACATAGCACATACCGAACCGTACCGAAACCATGACTCTAAAACCGTGATACAAACCGAACCGTGAGTAAGTTGAACCGTTGCACCCCTACTGTGTATGTGGTAAGTGAACTTTCATGTACTGTAATGCAACAGGCTACCACTAGCAAGCGGCTAACCTTTTAGTGGCTCCGTAGAACGCGTTATTTGTGTCACGCTTCGGGCACACCCCAAACCCCGCCCCGTCCCGCGATGTCATCGTCCATCACGATGTTTCACTGCAGAGTGCAGACATTGTCCGATGCCAATTTGGTAGACATCGCCCAACCCTAATACACATACACCCAGTGTGTCTTCCCCTATGGACCTGGACCCTGAAAGCTAAGCATTTAGCAGACACTTTTATGCATTTTTTTTATCCAGCTCAATTCATCAAAGAGCCAGTAATATTCATAATATACGATGTCAGGTTTATTAGACAATTAGATTATGACGCAAGCTATAGAAGCTTTTTT